TTTATCTATGCCATCCAAGTTTTTTGGTGCACCCATTGAAAATACATTTTAAAGGTATATCTGTGGTTGTTCCTATGTATGTGACAGGTAGAATAATTAGAATAATTTATATGCGATCTTGATTTGGATATCGATTTATTGATTTATCTCTTCTTATCCGAAATAATAGTTTTGCTAGTCAAGGTATTTGCTGGTTGAGAACTTCCGCCTAAAAGACTCGTAGTTCTTTTTTTGATTTCGTGATATGAATAACAAAATGAAAGAGCAACAACAACAAAAGCACATGATGCACATGAATAAAGTTTCAAATGTGCCCGAACAGGCGTAAAGTTTCTGTTTATTTTACTTAACTATTGTGCGCAATGTTTGCAATTTATTTTTTATATAGACTCCTCGCATATTGCCGAAACAAAAAAGAAAAAAGAAACTATTTACACTCGCTCTCTGTATAACTTTCAGCATAGTTGTTGTGGGACAGTGTTGAGCAACGTTCAGTTATGCAGAAAAAAAAACTAGGTCGTCTAACTACTATACAAACTGTCCACATCATGCTGCTGTTGTTGCTATTCCTATATAAATAGTAATTAAAATAGTTCTATCACGAAATGTGGGTCCAACGGGCATCGCATCAAAGGGCGCGTTGCATAAATACCATGGGGATCAAACAAAAATATGGAATGTTTGCCAGTGCTGGCAAATACTTCAATTAAACTAGAAATTATTTACAATTTTGCCGCTTTTACCAAGAGCGTATGTACATAGATTGAAATTCTAGTTATAAAATAGGAAAAACTAGGGGTAAAGTACGAATTAGCTACTGTTACTTTTACTGTTACTGTCTATTACTGTTATTAATACAGTCACTGTTAACTGACTGTTATCTGCATTGCTCCTTCATTAAATTATTATTAAATTCCATTAAAGAGCTAGCTGATTTAATATTTACATCTCAGCTAGAAAATTCGATGGCTGCATTCACTTTTTCCATACTTCGCATTTCAATAGAAAATGTTAAGTAACTTGTATAAAGAATAAGAAACAAGAGCCCTTAAAAAACCTCACTCAACACAAATAATCAAGAGGAAAAGTCACACATATACAGCGAAAGAGAGCTAGAAAGACACAAACACACATTCACATATATCAAGCACCGCATACAGATGGAAAATGAGAAAAGTTGTCAACCGCATTAAAGGAATTGTTGTCGCTCGTCGTATCCATTGTCTGCCATAGGGTTGTCAAGTGCATACAAAATGCAAAATATATATATATGTATATACATATAAATGTTATGTATATATATATATATGTTTATATGTACATATGTATACATATTTGCGAACATGGCGTATACACATTTCCAACTGTCGTTACTATTTGCAAAGCGACTCCCAATTTCGTGCAGTGATAGTAATCAAAAAAGTATCAACAGCTGTACACTAAAAGTTAATTTATTTGTTGTTGCTGCTGCTGCTGCTGTTGCCCAATAGGGAGTTTCTCTGTGGCTGGCTGATGACAATTCGAACCAACTGTCAGAACGATAGCAAAAATGTGTCGCACAATTGAACTGTACAACTTTTGCTAATTGCTATATGGACCGACTTTGCGGCTAGCAAACGCATAAATAAATTGGTAAATAAAGTAATAAAAAATATAACAAAAAATCTATAAAGTCAAATAAAGTTGAAGCTGAAGTTTCATATAAAAGCTTTGCCCTCTGTCTGTCATTTGCCTTTTACGCTGGCCATTTATTTTTAATGAACTTTAAATGACATCAAATATGTATTGCATTCTCTCGTGCTCCCTGCCTTCATTTTACCTTGCCCCAGCTCTGATGGAARAAATAAAATAAATAAATCTCAGCGTCGAGTCCTGTAGCAAATAATTGAAGGACAAATCTCATTTTTTTTCCTTTCTGGTTTTTCTTGTTTTTGTTTTATGCTTTCCTAGCTACCAAATGACATTCAATGTAGGTCACGTGCTGCTGCTGCTATATGAGACGGACTGAAAAAATAAAATCGGACAATATCTCGCTGCCTGACAGCGACGCCCCAAAAAGTAGGCTACACAAATTGTTTATAAATTGTGATGATAAATGTTAAATGTATATTTGATTATTGTTAGTTATTGGACTGCAATTTGAATTGAAATTTCAGTTAGAAGAATATGAAACAGGCATAGATATCAGAATAAATAAATAAATATAAATTCTTGACCCATAATGTTTTGCAGCTATTTGAAATTAAAAACTATTTCAATTCTGTTTGACGATGACAGATTCCAACTGAATCGCATTACAGCAAATAAGAAGCTCAGAACAGAAATATGAAACATGTTTTCAATATAATTTGTAAAACTTTATAGACCATATTGAAAAAGCTAAAAGGATTGAATAAATAGATCGTGTTATCACAACATTCTTACCGTTCCAAGTATTAACAGAATGTAGCCTAGCCTATTTGACCGAAATTCTGTGAGAAAGTTTTTCACACTCAAATCCTGTTTGCTTGGAGCTGCGCAAGAAATGTTTTGCCAACTCCAGTTTCAATTGCTGTTAAGGCTTCAAGCCCACAGCCATAGAATTAATACAAAAATGCACCGCGCTGACCTGCATTCGATATATAGAGAATGCAGAAATAGCAGAAACTATACGGCAAAGCAGCAAAATTTGTTGGGAAAGGGAAATAGCAAAGAAAGTTGAGCCAAGTGATTGAAGTCAGCCAAAGCGTATAGTTAAAGAGAGTTTGATTTTCTTTCTGCTCGCTCCCTTTCATTCTCATGCTCTGTCTCACTCATTCTCATTCTTTATTTAAGCCAGTTTAGACACGAGCACAAGCAAAGAACAAGTTTTGGCCACTCGCACTGCCAATGCTCATAAGGTAAACAAAACTCCAAGTGGAAAAGTAGTTGGCTACGCACGAACAGCAGCGCCCACATCAAGACGATGATACAACAACAACAACATCAAAAGCAAAAGCAACAGCAAAAACAACATATGCCACAGCAATAATATTAAGTAAATACTCTTCAGGTGTAACTGAAATAAATAGTCAACTAGAAAATATATATCAATGTGATTCTCAACATATTGATTGGACATTCAGAATAAGTTCACTGTATTTCTCTTAAATACAAGAAGAAACTTAATTAAAAGTATTTTCATAAAAATTGTAATATTAAAA